GCCGTTTTTAAGTTTTACTTTGAGTTTTTTATTGCGCTTGCGCGAATATATTTTTCTACGTATTCCGATTGGTCCAAAAAAAAACAACAACAGCGTTTTGAAAATAAATTTAAAAAATCATACCACGTTTTGAAAATAAAATAATTTTTCAGCTAAAAATTAAAAAAAAATATTGAAGTCTTTTAAAATAGTTGCTAACGTGACTTAAAAATATTTGTATATATGTATATATATATATATATATATATATATATATATATATATATATATATATATATATATATATATGTATATATATGTATATATATATATATATATATATATATATATATATATATATATATATATATATATATATATATATATATATATATATATGCCATATAAATTAGTAGAAAATCACTTAACAAAATTTTTTTTTTCATTTTACACTGTGTTTCATCAACAAAGACTCATCAGTAATGAATGATCAAATTAATAAGACTTCAATTTATACCAAAAAAAATTAATTACAGGAAGAATATATATATATATATATATATATATATATATATATATATATATATATATATATATATATATATATATATATATATATATATATATATATATATATATATATATATATGCCATATAAATTAGTAGAAAATCACTTAACAAAATTTTTTTTTCATTTTACACTGTGTTTCATCAACAAAGACTCATCAGTAATGAATGATCAAATTAATAAGACTTCAATTTATACCAAAAAAATTTAATTACAGGAAGAATATATATATATATATATATATATATATATATATATATATATATATATATATATATATATATATATATATATATATATATATATATATATATATATATATATATATATATATATGCCATATAAATTAGTAGAAAATCACTTAACAAAATTTTTTTTTCATTTTACACTGTGTTTCATCAACAAAGACTCATCAGTAATGAATGATCAAATTAATAAGACTTCAATTTATACCAAAAAAATTTAATTACAGGAAGAATATATATATATATATATATATATATATATATATATATATATATATATATATATATATATATATATATATATATATATATATGCCATATAAATTAGTAGAAAATCACTTAACAAAATTTTTTTTTCATTTTACACTGTGTTTCATCAACAAAGACTCATCAGTAATGAATGATCAAATTAATAAGACTTCAATTTATACCAAAAAAATTTAATTACAGGAAGAATATATATATATATATATATATATATATATATATATATATATATATATATATATATATATATATATATATATATATATATATATATATATATATATATATATATATATATATATATATATATATATATATATGGCATAGCAGCAAATGATAAACTTTTACTTGTATTAACTTAAAATAATAATACTTTTTTCCAAATCGAAAAAAACTCCACCACCAGTGCAGATGACCAGCTGTCTAAAAATACAAAAAATTCAAGTTTTTGCATTTATAGTATGGGTAGGGTCACTTAACAAAATTTCAAAAATACCATGAGAGTTATTTTTGTAGCTTGATCTATCTACTTTTTAAAAAAGATAAATCTAGTGTAAAAAAAAACTCTCATGGTATTTTTGAAATTTTGTATTTAAATTTTACATACAAAATTTCAAAAATGTTTTTAGATTTTTACCAAAAAACAAAATTTGTAGTAAAAATGATGGGAAGAGTTGATCTTCATCATTTGCAATCATGTGTATATTTGAGAGGTGGAAGGAGGGGGGGGGGAGGAGGGGAGGGTTTTTTTTTTTTTTTTTGGCATGTACTTTAAATATAAAACATTTTTGTAATTATATGTTTTTTATTTAAAGAAAAACTATTTTATGGTTTTTGTCCAAGATTTTTTATCAGTTCTTTTAAATTTTAAACAATGATAAGTTCCAACTATTAAGTTTGCTTCTCCTTGTTTTTTTAAACCTTTCAATGAGTCATTGAGAGTGGGAGAAGGAGGTGGGGAGGAGAGGGGGAGGAGTTAAAAAAGAGTTTTGTGAAATTTTTTTAATTCTTTTGTATATAAAAAAAATCTCAACTAACAATTATTAAAACAAAATATCTTATTCTGAAGTTTTTCATGTAAGAAAAAAAATTGAAACAATATACAACACATTACACATAATACATAACCAATAACACTTGCTTATTAAGAGAGCTGTATTACAGAAGTTATCCTATGTGCTAATTTTCCAAATATTTCTACAGTTGATATAGCTTCATGTCTATTTTTTTATGGTTTAATGTATTGAAATAGGAGGTTGTCTCATGGTAAAAAAATTTACCATGCGCCGTTTATTAGGTGAAAAAAATACTCACCAACATATCAGATGTTTACTATATTATAGTAAAATGCTTATAAATTTACAATTCAGTCCAAATTTAAATTGACTTGATAATATAGTAATATGTTTTTATGATAAAAATATCAATATATAAATGTTTT